AAAAAATTAGCTTCTAAACCATGCTTCTGTTTCCTGTCAAAATTGGTTTATGGGTACATCTGTTTACTATGAAGAAAACGCCATCTTGAAAACTGTCTACCAGTTGTCAATTTTGTAGGGCAGCAGCTCAAATTTCACTACTTCAAGTTTATGCACAAATTAACACCCAGGCTAGTTGTCTGTACGATTGCTGTAACACTTTCAACTAAAAACAATGCCCCGACGGCGTTTTGAAGATAAACACATTGTCAATCATTTGTAAAATTTCAAAACAAAAGGTCAAAGCGTCTAGGCGCTATTTTTTTTTAAAGTTCTGGAATGTGCACTAAAAAGAAGCTGAGATTATTGCTAATTTGCATAACAATTCACTCAGTAAGAAGTTTCCTAATGCTCATAATTAAAATGGCTGTTACAGTTTCAAATTTAAATGTATTACTGTTTTGTAAAAAGTTAAATACAGTGCATAATATGGAGATCCCGTCATTTCTTTTCTTCACCATGTTTTATTTTTTATTATTTATGTACAGCCTTGCTACATCTTGCTAAGCATTCAAAAGAGATAATTTTGCACCTGTTATCTATATTTTTAAATCGTTTTTTGAGTATGTTCCACTATTCACAATTCTACAAAATTTCAACAGTCTATAGCCAAGACTTTTTGGATAATAAAAAGCAAAAAAAAAAAATTTCACTCCCAAGTGCCCACGAACCTGCATCTCTACCTTAAAGCGAGAGGGTAGTCACCTGCCCATACGCGAGAATTGAGTCCCAAGCGATGATAACAACACACGCTAAAAACACAAAGGCTCATGCATGGGTAGATGTTTGTTTGTAAACAATGACACACTATGGTCATCTGATGCATTCGCAGGGGACGACTCCTCTGCTTTAATCTATGGACTATGACTAACTAGCACCATTTTGTACATGTTATACAATTAGCATTAACTGTACACGTTCTATTTTCAACAAAAGCCAAGTAACGAGTTCAAAATATGCTAGTAAGTTTTCTCACTTTACCTTAGACCAAACTCTGAGCCACAGCTGTCTGGACACGTCTTCGACTGCTTCATTATTGAGGTCCATTGAGATAGCTGTTAACAGCCTCTGAGCGGACAACGAACCTGAATATTTAGAATATCAAAGAGAAGATATTTAATGGGCGGTAGTCGTCGCGCCACGCATGCACGAGATATATGGGTCTCATATAAACAAAGATGGCAGCTTTGGCTGTTGTGCAAATCAATGAGTACAAACTGAGACATCACCAAGCTTTAATTAGATATTTTGTTAGGTGATTGGAAGTTGTGTCCAGGTCAAACCTCATACTTTTTTATTAGAAGAGCACATTGGATTAAAGAAAAATGTTATCAACACAAAATACATTTGAGTAAACACATAGTGATTGTAATGTATTCACACAAGTCCAACCAGTGAGGCAGAAATAGCTTTTATTCATTCACACGATGTTTCATACAGGCCGCCATTACAAGAATGTCGTCATACCGGAGAATAACTTACATCACGTGTTAGGGGTCATCTCCAATGACCTACAAGTAAGGGGCATCTCACAAATATATAACATGAGTACAAGTATACATTACACTGATATGTTGTATTCTATAGCATATACTAATGATAAACAGGTAAAAAATTGATTTAATTCAAAGAAAAAGACATTTTCCAGTTGGTTAGATGTTGTTTAAATAATATGAGGTTATTCATAAAATAATGTGTATCATATGCAAAAGTAGTCTCATCGCTTCATGATAATACCTTTGCTGTATGATGCACTTTGACATAAATTCCAGTATTTAGTGTTTAATTTTATTATTTCACGTCTTTTGTGAACTAAAATGATAAAAGACTGAAACAAATCGGTCGGTTGGTTGGCGATCTGCTCCGCTCACAAAACAAACATGTTTTTGGCTGTTGCCATGGTAGGACATGAACGTGAAGCTAAAGTTGGTTTATATCTGAAACCGGGCCCCGTATACGAAGTTCACAAAAAGCTTTCACTCTTCAGAAGTCACTTCATTTTATTACTAGCACATATTGAGTTGTAATTTTTATTTCCAACTTAGCCAAAATAAATAGCATGACCATCTGAACACTGTTATTGCAAGATTAGTGCCTGCCAAGTATGAACAAAATCGGCCAAGCCAAAAAAATCTCAGAAGAGTTACTGGTGAAAAGTTACCTCAAATTTGAGATTAAATTTCTTGATAATGAAAACAAGCAGCCTATCGGCTGAGATACTCCGCTGTTAGAAATGCACATTTCAATTAAAGAACTGAAGACATCATTAGAAAATGAACAATATGAATAGTATCAAAGCAATCGGACTTACAGTTTTTAACAAGAAGTTGAAAATATCACTTTTTACCAAAAATGACAAAAATATTCACCAAAATTAGAGAACTGACTATATCATCACAAAATGAACAAATCTGAGAAAGGTCTACATGTAGTATCTATATATGTAATATCAAAGCAATTGAACTATTGGTTTTTAACAAGAAGTCGAAAATATCACTTTTTACCAAAAATTACAAAAATATTCACCAAAATTAGAGAATTGAAGATATCATCACGAAATGAACAAATCTGAGAGAGGTCCACATGTAGTACCTATATATGTAATATCAAAGCAATCAGACTTGCGGTTTTTACCAAGAAGTCGAAAATATCACTTTTTACCAAAAATGACAAAAATATTCACCAAAAATAGAGAATTGAAGATATCATCACGAAATGAACAAACCTGAGAGAGGTCCACATGTAGTACCTATATATGTAGTATCAAAGCAATTGGACTTGCGGTTTTTAACAAGAAGTCGAAAATATCACTTTTTAACAAAAATATTCATCAAAATTAGAGAATTGAAGATATCATCACGAAATGAACAAATCTGAGAGAGGTCCACATGTAGTACCTATATATGTAATATCAAAGCAATCGGACTTGCGGTTTTTAACAAGAAGTCGAAAATATCACTTTTTACCAAAAATGACAAAAATATTCACCAAAAATAGAGAATTGAAGATATCATCACGAAATGAACAAATCTGAGAGAGGTCCACATGTAGTACCTATATATGTAGTATCAAAGCAATTGGACTTGCGGTTTTTAACAAGAAGTCGAAAATATCACTTTTGACCAAAAATGACAAAAATATTCACCAAAATTAGAGAATTAAAGATATCATTACAAAATGAACAAATCTGAGAGAGGTCCACATGTAGTACCTATATATGTAATATCAAAGCATTTGCACTTGCGGTTTTTAACAAGAAGTCGAAAATATCACTTTTTACCAAAAATGACAAAAATATTCACCAAAATTAGAGAATTGAAGATATCAACATGAAATGAACAAACCTAAGAGAGGTCTACCCAAGGTACATATACACCAAGTATCAAAGCATTCAGGCTTGTAGTTTTCAAGAAGAAGTCGAAAAAGTAAAACATTGACACGGACGACGGACGACGATGGACAATCACTCATATGATAAGCTCCGCTCAAAGTCGACAGCGGAGCTAAAAAGATATCAAAAAACAAATAGTAACAATGTGCGCATACAATCCTGGAATTGTGGGGCAAGATACAATTGGCGCTAAGGACAAACACAAACAGACACACACATCAGAGTGATTTTAAGGTCAATCCTAGCGGTTGTGTTGAGTACAGTGTTGGGTTTGCGCCTTACAACATTTGATAACATCAAATTCCACTATGCTCTCACACTACCTGAGTATGGGAACATGGACTTCATTGTACTGTTGTAGAACTTTTGAAAGACTTATATACGAGAAAATTGCGACAATGGTTATCAATGCAACAGTATAATAACCGCTGATCTAGTCACATTTTCTGGTCATTACTACAAGTTATTATAATATTTGTTGAAAATCAAAATGAACACTCAGAACTTGCATCAGTGGAGTGCATGCCTGTGGTGCGTTCAATTATGCAAATTTAAATATTTCACTGAGAGTGCATGGTGGCAAACTAGCCATGAAAGCAAAAGTGAAAAAAATTAAAAATGTATGCTAATAAAGTTATCAGAATACTGTACAATACTTTAAATTTGCTTGGAATTAATTTCGCTATTTTCGCTGAAGGAGTGATTCACTGAAAATAAAATCCAACAAATACACCCTTTTTCCTATATTTAACATTAACTCAGCAAAAATTATTGAAAATAAATTCCATACAAAATAACAAAAAAGCCTTGTCAGTGAAAATTAATTCCAGCTAAAATAAAGTATTTTACCGTACATGAAATTAGTACAAAGGAGTAACAGCCATTTATTTTTCACAAACACCACCATTCTCTAGACATACACATTATTCACTTTAAAGCGGGGGAGTTGTCACCTGCGCTGGCGTCAGATGGCCATAGCGTGTCATTGTTTATAAACAAGCGTCTACCCATGAGCCTTTGCGTTGTTAGTGTGTGTTGTTATCGTTGCGCAGGTGACGACCCTCTCGCTTTAAGATATGCACATCTGCTAATCAGTATGCACAGAATAACTACAATAATAAAACAATTACCTTTGACAAACATAACATCAACAAAATCTGCAGGCTCATTCATTGGTATTTTGTAATAATTTCTTAATCTATGCAGATCTTTGACTCCATACCTTGCCTTATGAGGATTCATCGCAGGTGGGGTATTCTCTAGAACAAAATAACAAACAATTCACTATGATGCACTGTAGAATACTTTATTTTCGCTTGGAATTTATTTTCGGTGAAGGGATGCTTCAGTGAAAATAAATTCCAGCGAATATACTTTTTTTCCTATGTTTCACATTCAACTCGTCAAAAATCAGTGCAAATAAATTCCATACAATACACCCAAAAAGCTTTTTCAGCAAAAATTAATTCCAGCTAAAATAAAGTATTAAAAATACAGTATGAGATTTGCATAACAATGAAACATTTAACTGGTGCAAACTTCAATCTGTTTTCTTTGTGTAAATCATTATGTATTGTCGCTGTATCAACAACGGTCAGTGGGGATTTGAGATTTGAGTACAATAAGGAGTGTTTATTATTTTTACAATAGACAGTCAATTGTGGAATATGCTGTGATTGTATTGTCGATAAGTTGTTTTATTAACCTGGAAACATATATATATGTACAACAGCAGCAAAACACATAATTACTTCATCTTCGGCGGTGAGCGACTAGTTCTTGTCACAGAGAGCATGCAAATACACGCTAAACAAAAAGACGAGAGTCCTTCATAACATCAGCGAACTCACCTGAATGGTGCATTATACCTCCAAGAAAGAATGGTTTGAACTTCAGATCCATGTTCCATTTATTTTTGTACCTGCATATTTGCTAAAAATAAATAAATATTAACAAATATTATTTGATCAAGTACAATCTATGGATAAAACAAAAATTCATGTTCATAGTTTTTGTTTTTAATAACTTTATTATTAGATTTTCCTGATCTGAACATAAGATGTATTGAAGTTGTATATTAATTTAATCATACTGCATTGTGTGTATTAGTGTAATGAGTACAAGTCATTTGCAGCATTAGCCCATGAAATCCAGCAATTTATTTATTTTCTTTTTTTTAACATTTTGTGAAAAACGATTCACTATGGTGATGTAATCACGTCACCCTTCATAAATTTGAAATAATAGCAAGCTCAGCTCTAGCAACCAAAGGTGGTTGCCGAAATGAAATATACCGGTATTAGTCATAATACTGGTACCTTCGAAAGTTACGACTTTTACTCTTGGAATTGGTGATAAATACATGCTTATAATACAACATATACCATTGTTTTACGCAACAACAATTCGTATACAGCATTGGACTTATGGATTTTTATATTAATAAAATATGCGGGCTGATAATATTACCATATGCTTAGTATTTCCATGCCAGCTATGCTCGTAACCTGCTCGATTTAAAAACAGCTACATGTATTTGAAAAAAAGAATCGTGGAATCACGAAGGGAAACTGTTAAGTACGTATTTCATACCTTTCCTATGACCGCGGTTGCAGACCCCTAATTATAAGCAGTCAGCGGCTCTCCCCGGTGTACCGCGGAGAGCCGTGGTGATTACCGTGGTGAACCACCTATTTGATTTCCTACTCTCCCCTTCATGACAAGTGCAAACATATGGGAAAATTAAAAAAAAATTATAAAAGTGAACACAAGCCTCAATTTTCAAACTTAGATTAGATTAACAAATTAATGGATTCATGAGCATTCAACATCCCAAAATACTTTACTGTTTACATCTACAAAACCCTTCTCAATTTTATTGCACACACCCCCCCCCCCCCCCCCCCCATTTGTTTACTCTAAAATTATATCAAACACACATGAATAGATACTACTACTTACA